ATATTGTTATTGAATGACTCACACATGTTGTTGACCAATGTATCACACCTACTTCTTCGGCTAAAATGGGACCTAGTCCATAAAGTTGGATTAATTTTCCTTAGCCAATTGTATACTTTCTCTTCTGGATCCATCTCCTTCAACTTGTTCATGTGAAATTCAAATTCCCTCACAGTCCCAGCTGCAGCTGCCTTCCACAATAGGTCCCTCAATTAAATCCCTTTGAACTTTGCTCTGAAATTGGAGTAAATATGCCTCATACAGAATCTATGTTCCACATTTGGCATTACCTCCTCAAATGCAGGTACTAACCCCTTTTGTCTGTTAGAAATGAAGACCCATCCCATGTCATCAACACTACCAATATCATCCATGAGTTGCCTTAAAAACCACACCCAAGAATCTTTACTTTCTGCCTCAACAGCTGTCCATGAAATTGGAAAATAATTATTATTCACATCCTTTCCAAGTGCACATAATAATTGTCCACCATAGATTCCTTTCAAATGACACCCACCCAATCCTATAATGGGCCTGCATCCTCCAACAAATCCTGTTCTAAGGGCTGCAAACCTAACATATAACCTTTGGAAAACTGGGGGCAATTCAAAGTTGGGCCTAAACATGTTTTCATTGGGCCTATCCACCACTACTTGCATTACACTGTTTGGATTATGCAGCCTCACTGTTTCACAATAATCATACACCTTTGTATATTTGACCCTTTGATCTCCTTTAATAAATTCTCTTGCTTTTTTTTTAGCCCTATACAATTGAGGCGTACTAACATCAACCATTAACTCCCTCTAAACTGTCTTCTGCATAGGCCGAACTTTGATGTTAGGGTCATTCCTTAACTAGTCCGTATACTTGTGTGCCAAGTAAGTTGAGTTCACCAAGTGATTAATATATGACCTTCCACATGCATGCTTTGGCTGGAATGATTTTATTTGAAAAGTTCTCTCACCTTGCATGGAAGAAGCATGCAATCTCCATCCACATCCATGCTTGTACACTACAGTAATCCTAGAGTTGTCATTCCTTATGTACTTGATGTCATAACCATGTTGGATATTCCACTCTTTTATTGCCTTTCTAAAAATTTGAGGGGTGACAAACTTCATTCCAAGTTTCATTTGTGTCTTCTTCATGTCTACTTCTTCAATGAACTCAGGATATTTATCTTCACATTCCTCATCTGATGAGTTAGGTACACTATGTAAATCTTCATCCTCAAGATCAGAGTACCAGCCTTCATCTGCCTCTTGATCACATAAAGGAGGTTGCCTCTTTCTTTTCTTTACAGTCTCCTTTAGTGAGAAAATATCATCATCTTCTGGCCCCTCTAAACCCTCATTCAACCAGCCAGGTTCATCACTTTCATAGTCTTCATCTTCTGAACTACTATCAGCATTCCCATCATCCATGTAATCAGGATCATCACTATCTTCTTCATCCCAAGCTCTGTTATCCATTTCCTCATCTCTGGCATCTTCATCTGCTACTCTTTCATCCCCATCTCCATTATGCATTTCCTCATCACCTACATCTTGCATTCCATCTCTACAATTCATCTCTTCTTCACTTATATTTTCCATGTCATTCCAAGTCAGTGCCTGCTTAGCACTAACTGGTACTCTTAGGGGTACCAAATGTTTCCCTTTTGGACTTACCACTTGTAATGGGTCCTGACCCTTCTCCACATATAATTGAATCACATCTAAACTTCATACTCACATATCACGGTATATGCATCAATATCTTCTTCAATTATTGTCAACCCATCATCCAAACTTTTTCCAGATTTCCTATACCACAAAATAGAAGTACTATACACATCTATTTTCATCTCCCTCAAGATGGTATGAATCTCAATAAAAGATAGTCTGTCAGGATCAACATCATATATATATTCCACTTTCCCTTGTTTATAAGCAATATTAGGAGGCTTACTGAAGTACCCATTATAGTTGATCTCAAAAATCATTTTTTTTTACCTCACTGTAGAAAACAACAACACTTCACATTACATTACAAAACTCAAACTCATTGGAACCACATAACAACAATCATAAAAAAAAAATCCAAAGTTAAGATCATAAAAAAATACCTGTTGTTTATGAACCTCTATACCCCACCCCACTTTAACCAACATCCCCAAAAAATAAACTAATTAAAGGCATGAATACTAAAGTATACAAACACATATCTGTGAATAAAAAATACTCAAAGTTAATATCATGAAAAATATTCCCCATTACTTCTTTATGAAGCTCTATACCCCACCCCGCTCCACTTTAACCACAATCCCCAAAAATTAAAGCAATTCAAGCATACCATGCCTAAAACATTACAAGTTTTGTGAATCGAAGTCAATACATACCTAATCTAGTAAATTAGGGTAAACAACATATAGGGATCAAAATTAAGGAAAATCAACATCTAAGGATGAAAATAAATTAGAGTAAACAACACATACCTAATCTAGTAATGGCGTTCGCGATATAATGGTGAAATTGATGATGAAACCCTAGTTCAATCCAATCAACCACGGCGAGAGAGAAGAGAGAGAGAGAGAGAGCAAATAGAGATGCGAATACTGGTGTTAGTCAAATGAAACGAAACGACTGAGAGATGTAAAATATCTAGGGGCATTCTTGACTTTTTACAACTTCTGTTACGTCCGTTGGATTTTGCACTCTGGTATGAAGTATAGGGGTTTAAGTGTTACAAATGAAACTATAGGAGGGCTCCGTGTTTTTGAGGCAAACCACAGGGGGTTAAACTATAATTTACCCTAAAATTAATTTGGTAAAAAAATAAATAAATATCTTAAAGATTTCTTAATTTTACATAATTTTATTTTTAGTGGGTAGAAATAATTTTTAAAAATTCAAAAATATTTGTTTGACATTTATTTTTGTCAAATTGGTTTATATTTTATCAAATTAACGATTTGACCCTTAAAAAATCTAATGATATCTTCAATTGTCCTTATTTGGAACAAGATTCAAAATTTATGGTCAAATGTGTCACAATTGAAAAATCAAGGACTGAAGTGAAACAAACCCCAAATTATAAGGACTATTAGTGTAATTCACCCAAAAAAAAAAAAAACAAAGGAAGAAAGAGTGAAAGGATAAGGGATAATAAACAACTATGATACAGATCCTCACTATCCCCCATTCTCACTATCCCATACACACGTGAAAATTAGTGATTGAAAAGAAAAAAAAAATAAAAATAAAAATTTGGCTAATAGCCACCCAGTGGGGTCCTAGGGGTCTCCCAGTGGGGTGCCAAGCATTATACAATAATAAATTTGAATAGATATATATATATATTTGTATTATTTTTACACTTTTAAAAAAGATATTTTCAAAATTGTTTTCATAAAAAAGATATTTTAAAAATTATTTTTGTCCTCTTAAAATAAAATTATATAAATATGAAAATAAATTTTTTTTTTTTTTCAAAAATCAAACCAGAAACATAAATTTTCCAGCCGAACAGCTCGCCGAAATGGAATTCATCAAACCGTTGTTCTCCAAATCTAACGGCATAATAGAAACTTGAAATTTTTGGATTTAATTTGTATTAATTATACTTAAACTTGAGTTAAATTTAATTTAAATTGACTTACATTAAATAATATTCTACTCTTTATTTATGTTATATTTAATTATTAATGATTTGTTTATTTAATTATTTATTATCAATTGATTTACTTTTTTTTTAATATATTAGAACATTAATTTCAATTCAAATTTGTGGTGTTTTAGAAAGTTGTTAAAAAATTAATTTTTTTACTTTTTGAATTTTTTTGATAGAAAACTATATTATTTTGGATAAAAAAATTAACTTTTTTAGTTAAAAAAACTAAAAAACTAAAAAATTAATTTTTTACCATTATTCCTTAAAGAGCCCATTAAGGGTCCGTTTGGGAAGGGCTTTTCTGGGTTTTTTTTGGCTATTTTAGCCACAAAAAACAAAACATCACATCCAACCCATAATCATTACACTCTTCTCTCACAAAAAAAGTCAAAAAAGTTAAAAAACCAAAAAGTTCTTTCCAAACCAAGCTTTTTAGCCCAGGCTAAAATAGCCAAAAAAGCTAAAAAGCCAAAAAGCCAACCCACTTTCCAAACGGAGGCTGAACTGAGTTGAGTTTATTCTAATGCCTAAGACCATCTCCAACGCTTCAGCAAACCTGATATCAAATTCAAAATTTGATGAAAAAGTCACTTTTTTGAGCTCCAACGGTTTCACCAAATCGATATCAAATCCAGAATTCAGCAAATCTTGTACCAAAATGAGAACAGGCGAAGCATTTTACCAAATCACTGTTCCTAACCGTTGGGAGAGACCAACCGGTCAACCAGCCGGTTGCCCGGCCGGTTGACCAACCGGTTGACCGCCTAAAGGTTCAAACGGTTCGAAGAAAAAGGTTCAGCTAAAACAAAGGTTCAAAAGGTTCAAGCTTCCTTAAGAACCTTGAAACAAGGGTTCAAAGTAAAAAAAAAAAAAAAAAAAAATTTTGCCTAACCGGTCGACCAGCCGGTTGACCAGCCGGTCGACCACTAAAAGGTTCAAAAAGTTCAAAAAAAAAAAATCAAAAAAAAAAAAAAAAAAAAATTCGCTTAACCGGTCGACCAACCGGTTGCCCCTGGTACAAATTTGATGAAAGTACACCGTTGGAGCGAGTGGTATCAAATTGATAAAATTAGTCATTTTTAACTCAAATTTGATGAAAAATCTGAGTAACCGTTGGAGATGTTCTAATTAATTTAATTTTGGATTCAAAATTCAAAACTGCTTGCAATTAAATTAATTTTAAATTTAATTTCAAACCAAATCAAATCAAACCGAGTATGACGACCCTAATCATAAGGGCGAAATCATCACCAGTCTATCCAGTCAACGGTGACCATCTTATCACAGCAATTTACAACACAAGCCCCTGAAAATGATGCAATTTACACACAGAACCAAATACATGCAGAGAGGGGGGAACACAGAGAGAGTGAGAGAGAGGGAGGTGAGTTAAATCAATGCCACAAAGCACTTTCTCTCTCTAGGGTTTGTTCTCTATTTATATACATTCACATATATATAACGCTTTTCTCTCTCTAGAACTACGAGCGTTGGGGCGAGGTGGTCGTTGAATCAATCGAGAGATTGCGAACCTCTGTGTTCGTAGATCGATCGATCTGGTTTCGTTTTCGAACTTATTTTGAGGTTAATTCTGGATCGGAGGTAGATTAGTTGTTTGCGATCATGTTTTTGTTCGATTGGTTCTATGGAATTCTCGCATCGCTCGGTCTCTGGCAGAAGGAGGCGAAGATCTTGTTCTTAGGGCTTGATAATGCCGGCAAAACGACGTTGCTTCATATGTTGAAAGACGAGGTTTGTTTTATTTTTATTATTCCTCTTTGTATGAATTTTGAAGTATGTTTTGGTCGCTGAGAAAGCTAAAAGTCTTTGGCTTTTATGTCTATTTGGTTCTTGTTTGTTTCTCAGGAAAATTCCGAGTTTTTGTTTATCCCCTTGTAACGGAAATTTTCTTTGCAATTGTGTTTTTTTTTTTTTTGGGATTTTTGGTGCAGGATTTTTGTTAATTTGGAACAAAACCTATTTGGGTTCTAAATCAATGGGAAATAGTTGATTTTATAATTAATTTTCCTCCATAGCTCCTGTGTTTTCTTCATTTCCCAAACAGAGGGAGGTTTCCTTAATGCTGTATTTGGTTCAATGGAATGAGATGGAATGGAATGGTCATTCCTTAAACTCCCTTATGCAACGATCATTCCCTTATATTGGTGTATGATGATTCTATTTGCAATGTATTTTTCTTTTCTTTTTTTTTTCTTTTTCTTTTCTTTTCTTTTTTTTTTTTTTTTTTTGTCAACCAAACATGGAATGAATATTTTGATGGAATGACCATTCCATTCCAGTGAACCAAACACGGCCTAAGTGTTAGCAGTTTGAGCTAATATGTGTGTTATTGGTGTGGGACCTTGTCAGAGATTGGTTCAGCACCAGCCAACCCAGTACCCAACATCAGAGGAGCTGAGTATTGGCAAAATCAAGTTCAAAGCTTTTGATTTGGGTGGCCATCAGATTGCCCGCAGAGTCTGGAAAGATTACTATGCCAAGGTATATGTATATAGATATATAATTGTCATGTCTAATTCTCTTTTCTTTATTACTATTTTGGCAAAATTGTTATTACTTTGTATGATGTTGACTTATATTGGTGGTGCATTATCTCTAAGATTAATTATGGTTTTTTATTTGATTGAATGTTGATCAATTGTAAATGGAAAAGTAGTTATTTTATTAATCGTTGTTCAGGGGGCTGTTGTGATGATTATGTCGCATTGTTGCATCAGTTTATCATCCTTTCCCCCATCATTTGTGCTTCTAGCTAGTATCTTTCAAACATCATAGAAATTCTGTGTGGGTTGTGTTTTATAGAGCCAATTTCTGAGTCATATGATTGTTTTGCCATGGTTATGCAGCTTATGCCTTTATGTGGTTTAACCGGATGAGAAATGTATGTAGAAGTATTTGTATTATGAATCTCACTTTAGACCCTCTGCTACCTTAAATCTTGAAAGCTCATGCACAATATACGAAAGTGGTGTGGATCTTTTTCCTTTTCCCATTAGCCCATTCCCTTCATTAATGCCCAAAATTGCAAGCAGAATCTCTTATGTGAATATATGTGTTTTTCAAAGCAATCTGCTTGTCTCAATTTTATTGCTGTCAGAATAGAGGACCTGTCTTTTCATTTACTGGGTTGAATTAGCTTTGCCAGGGATTGCCTGGTATTAGAGTCTTCGTTTCTTCTGTGTTTTAGCACCAATAGGAACCAGAGGTCGGACCAAACTAATTAACTGCTTAATTCTGAATGAATTTTTGAATGAGAAATATGCTGTATTGGACATCCACTGTAGGATGTTTTTGTGCCTTCATAATTCCATAAAAATATTTCTGTGTTTACTTGATTCATGGGAGGCGGAAATTAACATTGGGAGTTTGCTGATGACACCTTTTTGTTCCAAGAAGGTGTTTTAACAGTACCTCACCAAACACATATCATTTCATATGAATTTAACTAGTTTGTAGTTTTACGCAGATTCCTTATTGTGAAATAGGGGAGTTATTTCTGGTAGTACTTGCTTATCTTGTGTTTTGATAATAATTGAAATCCCTATCTTCAGGATCATATAACCCCAAAACCACAATAAAAAAATGAGGAGAACCATAAAACATAAGAATTGTACCATAGCTTTGGGCAGTGTCTTAAGTGATCTCTCTAGCTCTGGCCAAGCTAATGTGCTAGTTCACTTCTTGAACTTTTCAAGGGGAAAAAAGTACACTAAGGTTTGTGCATATTCCCAGGTCTATTCGAACCATTGACCATGCATCAAACAGAGACGTTGGACAAGACTGTTCACCACTTGAAGTTCTAGTAGAAGGTTCAATGTGTCATTTTTCTTCTGTTCACCACTTGAGATTTTATTCTGCATCCACATGGTTTTCATAATAGGCATAACACCCGTGAAGTTCCTGTTATGTCAGGGTTGGCTAGTTGTTAGTTTAGTTGGGTTTCGTAATGGAATTTTTAATGAACATGAGGTTTTGGTTTTCTTTGTCTTTACACTATGACCCTGAAATGTCATCTTATTTCATTACTCTGCTCTGATTCTGCTGGCATTGTGTTTTTTAATTTCACATCTTATTTCGATGAGAAAACAATTTCATGAAAATGGTCATCTGAAGCTGTCACCCTGGTGTTGTTTGAAACTACTAGCTACCCTCAAGAAAAAGTGAGGAGATGGAGGGAGAGAATAACTACTTGTTCCGAGTCGCATTTGATATGTGGAAAAGTTATAATTTTATGTTTGTGTTCATATGATCTGCATCCTAAGAAGTTTGTACTTGTGCTTGTTTTGGGTCTATGTATACTTTTGTTGGAAGCATTTTTAAGTTATTATCATCAGTTTTTTTCATGGCTTTGGTCCATGGATTTGTGACAATTTGTTCTGTGTTAAAGTTTCCATTGGAAAATTAATAATAACAAAAAAAATCATGATTTGGCAATTCTTGTATGGTTTTTAAAATATATATTCCCACTCCTCTCAGCGGGTCTGATTCTGACAATTAAATTTCACTTGGTTAGATGTAATTAATATGCAATTCTTGGTGTGAAGGTGGATGCTGTTGTGTACTTGGTGGATGCTTATGACAAGGAGAGATTTGCCGAATCAAAAAAGGAGTTGGATGCTCTCCTGTCTGATGAGTCATTGGCTACTGTTCCCTTCCTAATTTTGGGCAACAAGATTGATATCCCCTATGCTGCTTCAGAAGACGAATTGCGTTTCCACATGGGTCTGACTGGTGTCACAACAGGCAAGGGGAAGGTAAACCTGGCAGACTCGGCTGTCCGCCCACTCGAGTTGTTCATGTGCAGCATTGTCCGCAAAATGGGATATGGGGATGGCTTCAAGTGGGTGTCTCAGTACATCAAGTAGTAGGAGGCTGTGGGATAAGAAATTTGGTTGTGTGTTTTACATGTTATATATTTCCATGCTGGACTCAAGTTGATGTGTTGTCTGTTTGAAATCAGTGTTGAATATATTCCCTAGTTTCCAGTTTTTTATTTTATTTTATTTTATTTTTTTGTTGAAATGACAACAGTGCTGCTCCCTTCTTACTATTTTGATGATGTGGTGCCAAATGATTGACGACTTGCGACCAGAAATTGTAGGGGAGGAAATTCATTGCCAGGGGAGTTGAAAACAATGTAGACTTCATATTTGTGAAACATTTTTTGTTAGCATTTCCCAATAAGTCAATGCGTACATGGATTTGTAGTTTGAAGAGTACTTACTAATGAATCTCTTGTTTGAAGACTATGCTTGTCTGCTTTGGTTGTTTTTATTACTATTGTTAATGCTATCATTTTATTTTTAGAGGGGAGTAAACTGTCTTCAATATTGGTGGTAATAAATCTAGCAACTTGAACTTCATTCAATATAGCTGTTGAGGGTTGATTCCGGTAACAAGTGACCTGGAAGAACACCATGCTATATTTTTGCAAAACTGCTGCTATGCTTCCAGCTAATTTGGGCTGGATTTTGTAGGTTGTTGGACTGTTTGTAATATGCTGTTTTTGTTGATAACATTTTGCTTCTTGTGGTTTCCAGTTTTACATGGAATGAGCTGGTTTTTGTTCTGAATGTAGGGTTTAACCTTAGTTTGCTAATTTTGATTTTGTCACAAAAAAGAGAGGTGTGCTACACTAAAAAGTGGGAAAATTAGGGAGTAAACCAACGTATATTATTTTATGATAACTCAATGCAATTATATTATTTTTATTTTAACAAAATCTATTTATTAAAATTATTTACTTGTCGGTTCGTTTGGAATGTGAGTTGACTTTTTGATTTTTTTAGCTGAAAGCTAAAAAGTCTCATTTGAAATGGACTTTTTGACTTTTTTGAAAGAAAAAATTAAATGATTATGATTTGGATGTGATATTTTGTCTTATTAATTTTTTAACATATTGTCTTTTTGTGATTATTTTAGCCTCAAACCATTATGCCAAACGAGTGTTGTGTTTGGTATTAGAGTAAATTACACTCACCTTCCCATGTGTTGAAAAAATACTATCAGCCTCACACTTTTAACCATAGGGGTGGTTTGAGATGATCTAAATAAGTATATTTTTTGACTTTTTATGAAATATGGATTGTGTATAGGTTGGGTTTAAAGTGATGTGGTACAGAGATGATGTGACTTAAATAAGATAATGCGATTTAAAAACTTATTTTGGAAAAATGGTAAAAAGTAACTTTTTGGCTTTTAACCAAACTTTTGATTTTTTTAAACAAATGATTTGAGAAGTTGGTAAAAAGTTACTTTTGACTTTTTTGATTAATATTTGTTTATGATGTCAAATCACAATAAAATGACCAAACTACCGCTATTCAATTTAAAATATTTATAACTTCACCCATGTAATACATTTTGACCAATGAGGGATAGAATTGTAATTTCACTAATTACTGAAAACCAACTTCTCAAATGAAAAAAAAATACAAAAATCTAACTTTTGGCTTTTGCTACAAACTTAAAAAAATGGCTAAAAGCTAAGTTCCCAAAACATCCTAAATAGGATAGTGATATTTTAACTTTTTAATTTTTTTAAGTTATGACAAATAAGACCATAATTATACTAACTTCTCTTTTAATAAGGCTAAAGTGACCAAAACTAATACAAAGAGTGAGTAGACATCAAAATAAGTAAAGATAAATATATATACAAATATTTTTAAAAAATATGAAAATATTATTATTTTTTTCATACATGTGACTAATGAATTACTAATAAAAAATGTCTCAATTGTTATATGAATTAAAATTTTGATAGAGACCAACGGAATTGCATCAAAAATGTGAGATTACCTATATATTTCTTTAAATCTCAAAGTAAGTGAGTATGATTTAGGAAAAATTAGTCTATCATCCCTCTCAAATTTTTAATAATGGAATAGGTCCACAATATTTTATTTTGTAGTCTAAGGTCCTTCACCCCCATACCCTTATATCACACCTAAACTATCATTCTCTCTCTACTCTACTCTCCTCTCTCTCTCTCTCTCCAAGCAGTAGTGATGACATCTCCAAACATGGCAACAATCACAGCATCCTTGGAGAGATCGCTGCAAAACTGTTCGGCGGACATCTTCTTTCCAACGATGTTGTGGTTGGCGTAAATCGTTTTCTTGTAGTGTTAGAAGGGGACTTTCAACAACTAGTGTTCCAGTTTCAGAGACTTCACTAACTGACTCGGATAGAGTGGTGAAAGGAGGAGGAAATGTGGTGGAGTTGTGGCAGAGACAGAGGCAACAGGAGGAAGAGGAGAGAGAGAGAGGGGGAGAATGGGTTTAAGATAAATGAATCGATGTTTGTCAATGACATAAGAGGTTCTGCTTTCAAGCTATGCTGAAATTTCACTTGACTAGTGTCCAAATTTGAGTTTGGCGTGGTTTTTTTATTTTTTTTGTTAAATTGATTCCTAATGGTTTTGATGATCTAGTTAGTTTAGTGTATATAGTGGAATAAGAAATTCAATAATTGATTGCTGATTGCAGATGGCAGATTCTTTGACAACATTGATGTATGCGGTTCAGGTAATGAATTTCCTCAAGACTCTTACTGTCAAGACAATGAGAGAACGAGAAGACTTTGTATTTGGTTTAAAATTGTGAACAAATATAGAGAAATTTGTGGACAAAGTCAGAGAAATTCTCTATGAACAGAGCCAGAGAAATTTCAATTCTCTATGAATAAAGTTCGAGAAATTTGTGAATAAAGTTCGAGAAATTTCAATTTTCTCTTGTTTAAACCTAGAAAAATTCTGTGAAAAGTCTAAAATTTCTCTGGAGAGAATTTCTCTGGGATTGAATTTCTTTGAATCAATGAAGAGACCGATATTTACATTTTGTGAAAGAAATTGTAGCTGTAGCATACACATATCTAGTAAGTCTTGGAATTCGGAGTTTAAAGAATTGAAAACAACAGCATACATAAAATAATAATAATAATTATTGAAGCTGTTGAGAAAAGAAATGTTTGTGTGTGCAATAATAATTTTTTTTTGTGTAAATTTTTATGAGACAAACTATTCTATTCATGGGGAATTTCTTGTTATTTTGTGATTGTTGACTGCTTTAGTATTATTTTGTGGGTTTGTTAGTAAAGATTGCATTGGTGGCTTACATACTACACAAAATCAGAGAACAGAATTTCAATTCTCTGTGAACAAAGCCAGAGAAATTTGTGAACAAAGTCAGAGAAATTTCAATCTTCTTTGGATTTCTTTGGTTTGAACTCAGAGAAATTTCAATTTTTTCTAATTTGAACTCAAAGAAATTCTTTGGGATGTCTAGAATTTCTCTGGGATTGAAATTTTTCTAGATCGATATTGAGGGACCTTAGATATTATAAAAATATTGAATGTTCTTTATACTATACAATCTTAATACTAGTGATCCTAAAAAAAATCCCCTCAGTTGTGAGTGCACAAAAAGAATGATATAATTTGTTGAAGGGTCTATGCAAATAAAACAAAATTTAGACATTTTCTTTACAAACTAACATGATTGTCTGGTTTGGCAACATGCCGATTTAGCCAAAAAGTCAAAAAGTTACTAAAAAGCCAAAAAGCCAACAACTCATATAAAAAAGTCAAAGATTCTCTTTTCTCTCTACTTTTTGCACATCTTTTCGTAAAAAGCCAAAAAGTCATCACAAACATACTAGTTTTTTTTAACTCATATTTTAGCCAAATAGCCAAAAAGTTACTAAATTAGCCTGTTCCCAAACGATGCCTATCATAATTTTATTACATGCAAGGGCGAACCCAGGATTCGTCGATGGGGTGGGCTAATATTAAGGTAAAATTATTCAATATATTTTAAGTATAACCACAAAAGAAGAAAGATAATTTAATAATATAATATAGATTAATATTAAATTTATTAATTAAAAACAATCTAACTAAGTTGTGCTAGATGAGTCTTTAAAGATTCGAATTCATCGATTACAGAATCTAGATGAACTTTCAAAAAGCATGAAAAACAATATGCTTTATTCTTTGAAGGAGAATAATCTAGCCAAGAAAATTGTTTAAACCAAATATGTTGAAATCGGTGATTTTATTTTCCAAATGAGGACCTAGGATACTCAAGTTTAGGTTGATAAAGCCCCAAGTTCACATAAGCTCGTTTAACCTCATCCCGTTGATTAACTAGATATTCACAAATTTGCATGGGTAAACCAGGATTTCGTTCAATAACAGTTGAATCAAATTCGCTTGGTTTATTTACTTGAGGTATGGAAGGTGGTTGCACATCAGAAAATGAGGTTTCAACAATATTGGATGTTGTATTACTAGACTTCTAAGAAAATGATTTTTCCTTTTTTGAGTGTGGAGGTTCCATTATTTATGACATGGATAGGCCCACAAGGCACACGGCCCACGGTAAACCACCCCGAACCCAGTGCTTGGGGCCAATGGCACAACCCGGTTGCTTGGATGACAAGGCCCAGAACAGCTGGAGGCCACCTAGACATGAAGGGCCAACGGCATTTAGGCACACGGCAGGTGGGACACGGGCCACATCAGCAGACAAAGATCTGCAGAGTTATTATCACAACACATCACCATTAATGCAACCCATCACAGCATTTATTACAACAGCACTCCCCGCCGGAACAGAGCCTCCATCACCCTAAACAAGATGAGCTATGGCACAGGCTTTCGGCGGAAAAAGCACGTCACAAGAGACAGGAAAAATGATGACCAAAGGATATAAGCAAGGATAAGAGGAAGAAAAAGGAGGTTAGGTTGCTCTCTCTCTTGATCTCTCGATATACAGTCTTTTCATACTCTGCTCTTCTAATTCTTGCACCGGAGGGTTCACTGGGGGACTACCCCGTTCCCCCCCTGAACTTGCTTGCAGGTCATCTGACGGAGCCAGCCTTCCTGAGCCGGATTCTGGAGAACCTGGGCCGGTCCGACCCATCCACCCGGGAATCGATACATCATCAATTTATAACCTTAAAAAATATTAAAAAAAATTTAGCCCTATTTAATATTAAACCAGAGTATATTCACAATAATTTTAAATATTAAGGTTTTTATATACATCTTCAATAATTTTTGTTTAAGCTTTCATTATTTTTATATATGTCCAAAAAAATTCCTTCAAAGTTCAAAAACTAATAGTAATATGGAACACTGAACAAGGCAGCATCATAAAAAAACTAAGAGCAACATAATATTTGTTGCATAAAGACAAAATTTTTCAAAACCATTGTTAATCAAATCCATTCTCAACCAACGA